GGAGCATAATTCCTTGAGTTTTCGACAAATTTCGTACTTTTGGTGTCATTACCATCGGGAAAAGATTCTCTATCATTTCATAAGAAAAAATAATTTTTTTTTCCAAAACTTTTGTGACATAGAACGACAGTTTCAGATAGGGGCTTGCGACAGTCAAAGGGTTAAGTAGACTGTAAGCCAATAATGTTAGGGTGGCCCATAATGCCTAGGCATAATATAGGCTCTCTTTGCATTGCAACCCACTATTGTAAATGCAAAATCTCAATGTACTGTTTGCAAAGACATAAAATAAATAAATAAAGGGAGCCACTATCAGGCCTTGGCGTTATGGGCAATCTAAATTTAATACATTACTGATTACTTAACACTGATAGTTCTATGCCTGCAATAATAGTGAACTAGAAATGGCTATAAATATGACCATAATTTTTAAAAGGGTGGACTGATAAGCCTGCTGAAGGCCTCGGTCAGATGGCCAAAAGCTCCAAAGGCGGGTCATCATCTAAAACCCACATCAGGAAACACTTGTCCAGTTTCCTGGCGAACCTTACCTTACCTAGCCTAACCTATTTAACACTAGACATACAGAACATAGTTTGAAAAGGTTGCACTAATTATACAATAGGTTATAGGTGACTTCAATATAAATCTCCTGCAAGACCAGGACCCACACGTTACTGAATTCACAAACACAATGAGTAACTGTATGTTGCTACCAACAGTAACAAAACCTACAAGAGTTACAGAGACTAGTGTTTCCCTACTTGACCACATCTGGACCAACACCATATCCCCTTTAAAATCAGGCATAATTACAGATAATACCACAGACCACTACCCGACTTTCCTCATAACAACTCTTGGTAAATTACCCCAAGACACTACTAAAGTCACCTTCAGACTTCACAATGAGGCAGCCATTAATAACTTCACAACAGCAGTAGCAAACATTGACTGGCACACTGAGCTAGAAATCTTTTACAGTATTGACGAATGTATTAATAATTTTCTAAAAAAGACCCAATACCTCTAAAACAAGCACTCCCCTAAAAAAACTAAACAGATGACAGCTAAGAGACTGAACAGTCCTGGCTAACACCCAGCATTCTCAAATCCATAAATACAAAACACCAATATGAAAAACAGTACAGAATGGGTCACATAACCAGAGACCAAACAAAACGTTACTCGTCATCCTAACCAGCCTGATAAGAAGGCAAAAAATTGTATTATGGAACAGATTATCCAACTTACGAGGTGAAAAAAAAAAGACCTGGAAAAACCCTATCGGGAAATTCTAGGAAAAAAAAAAGATATCAAAAAATAGCGAAATAAAATTAGCAAAATCAGATGAACCCAACTCCTACCACAGAAACAGCAAAACAGATCATGATTTCTTCTCCACTAGGACAAAACCTTGCAAATAAAATCCAAGCTCAGATACCCCACCAAATGACTACCTCACCGGCAACTACCCAAAACACACTGTTCCTAGCTCCGACTAACCCATACAAAGTCTCCCTTATTATCAACACACTAAAAAACCAAGGCAGGAGATTTAAATCCCTTACCACCCTTTATATAAAAAAAAAGTGTCACAAGTGCTATACCAATCATTGCAACACTCTAACAAACCCATTGAATCCTCCCCCTTTCCCCTACAGTACTCAAAATAGCAAGGGTCACCCCGATCCACAAAGGAGGAGCCCAAACAGAGTTGAATAACTATAGGCCAATTCCAACTTACACCCCTCTCTCAAAAACTTCGAAAATTAATTCATAAAGAATTACTCCTACCTTATCTCCCAAAACATACTCAACCCCTGCCAATTTGGATTAAGGCCTAATAAAAATACTAATGATGCTATTTACACATGTTTAGAACATATATACACTGCAATAGAAAAAAAAAGAAGTCCCACGGGGGGATCTTCATTGACTTACGTAAAGCTTTTGATACAGTTGACCATGACTTGCTCCACCGTAAAATTGTCACACTATGGTATAAGAGGGCACTCCCTCAACTACCTCAAGTCATTACCTCAGCAACAGAAAACCAATATGTGTATGCAAATGGGGGAAACTCCTCTGCACAACCAATTACAGTTGGTGTCCCACAGGGGAAATGTCCTTGGCCCTCTTCTCTTTCTCCTATACATAAATGACCTACCAAATGCTTCGCAATTACTCAAACCCACACTATTTGCAGATGACACTACATACGTCTTCTCCCACCCGAGCCCAGTCACGCTAGCCAATACTGTAAATACCGAATTACAGAAAAAAATCTACTGGATGAGAACTAACAAAAATTACACTAAACATTGCAAAACCTACTTCATTCAGTTTGGTAACAGAGCTACAGATGTCCCTCTTAACATAATGATAAACGGATCACCTATCACAAAGCTAACAGAGGGAAATTCTTTGGAATCCCCCCTTGATAATAGACTCAAATTTTACACAATACAACAAATTTCTAAGAAAATTTCCAAGCTGTAGGCATACTATCGAAGATACGGTACTATGCTCCACAGTCAGCCCCTGGCCCTATATCACTCTCTTATTTACCCCTATCTCACCTATGGAATTTTTGCATGGGGCTCAACAACAAGTAACCATCTCAGACCCTAATTACCCAACAAAAGGTGCAGTTAGAATGATAACAAATTCCCCACTATAGGCAGCACACTCCACCAATATTCAATTACACTAAACCTCCTCACCATACAAAACTCCAATATTACTACTGCACCTATTACTACATAGAACACTTAACTTGACATTAAAACCCCCCCCTCAAACATCTCCTTGCCAACCTCAACAAAAACACATGACCATAACACAAGGCACAGATCACTCTTTGATGTTCCTCGTGTCCATCTCACACTATGTAAAAACTCAATGCACATAAAGGCCTAAAATCTGGAATTCATTTCCTGTAAATATAAAAGAAACACTACCTGTTTATAAATTCAAGTCTTTTCTCAAAGATCACTTACTCACCCAAAACCAAATAAATACTGAATAACTGAACCTTATAAATTGTATATCTTAAATGTTTTCACAATTATATCACATAAATGTAAACCCTAAAACCCAATCTAACTTTATTTTTTTAAATACACTACCTAACAGAATACTCCATTTACTGAATGTACAACAATGCTTCCCAACCATATGACCTGTTTTTGTAATACTCACTTGTGCTTTATAGTAACCTGTTTACATTAATGTTTTATCACTGATTTATCATTGCTTAGTTAATCTTAAGTTAATTTTAAGCCAGCCCGTAATGCTATGCATAGTATAAGTGGCTTTGGCATACTGCTCTTACCTGTATTTGTTGTACCTCTGTATGTGTGCTCAAATTTTTAAATAAATAAATAAATAAATAAATAAATTAAATATTTGTTATTCAACATTTGCATAAAGTTAAAATATGAGAATTTATTGTACTTAGAGCATTTACTTATGGGGTTCTGAGGCTAGGGGAGTAACACAGTGAGCAATGATATTTTGAGGCAGTGGCGAGTGATTTGGTAGCTCTGTAGGTAAAGTTATGTACTAAGTATTTAGTTTTGGGCTAGTAGGTGGTTTTTAAGAAGTGTCTTGAATTGATGTACAGGCAGGGTTCCATTGGTATTCACTGGTACGTAATGAATTCCAGATTTTTGGGCCCTTTATGTGCATCAAGTTTTTACAGTGTGAGGACACAGGGAACATCAAAGAATGATCTATGTCTTGTGTTATGGTCGTGTATCCTGTTAAGGTTGGCAAGGAGAAGTTTGAGTGGAGGGTTTATGTTTGAGTATAGTGTTCTATGTATGTAGTAGGCACAATAAGTATGGATGCTCTTTACGGTGAGTAAGTTTAGACTTTTGAATATTGGTGGAGTATGCTGTCTGGAGTGGGAATTTATCATCATTCTGACTGCAGCATTTTGCTGGGTTATTAATGGTCTGAGATGACACTTGTTATGCAGAACATTTCGGGTAAATTAGGTCAGTTTTGTCCCAGGATGCGACCCACACTAGTCGACTAACTCCCAGGTACCCATTATACTGATGGGTGAACATGGACAACCAGTGTAAGGAAACACGTCCGATGTTTCCACCCCTTCGCCGGGAATCAAACCTGGGCCCTCACCTTGTGAAGCGAGAGCTGTTGCTACCCAGGCCACAGGGCCTGGTAATTGTACTTAGGCGTACCTGTGCCTAAATAAACTTCCGTGCACCTGCTGACACTGTGCACTTAGCAACGCCTAGGTACCTGGATTATCAAGTTTATTCAGGTATATGTACACATAAATAGCTACATAAATTATCATTCTTAGCAGCACATGTGTAGATTACCTAGAATAAAACAAAAAAGTCAGGCAGACTTATTTCTATTGGGGTCCTTGTAAATTGTTGTGGGTGGCATCTTGGGGCAAGAAGACTAGAGGAATGTAATGGAAACAAGTCATCTTGTCCTTAATAACACACTGACTTCATTTGGTTATCCTGGGTTACTAGGCCTCCGGGTTAATTATGCCAACAAAATCTCGCATGCCGGACATCCATCATCATGCAACGTCATGCTGCTCACCTCTAGTGAAGTGTCACTTAAAAAAAATATTTTTGAACACTACCTGTGAATGTCTTCAGTCACAACACCAATATCAAACATGTTACACGTCATATTAGTCGAAATTTTGTTTTATATTTAATGTTATTTTATAGAAAACTGTCAAACGTTTGCAGATTTGCAGATTTTGATGCTCATGCCCAGAGGCAATCAATTTCTCTGCTTAAATCTGAGTTTTTTTTTTTATGGAAAGCTCCTTTGAATGTTACAATGTTTGAATTAAACATTTTATTATAGGCATTCAAATATGACAAATGATCAAGTTCATATTTCTAGATAAAGATAACATGGAAGAGCCAAATATAATGTTCATTGTAGTAGATTACATCAAACAATATATACTCGTATCAACAGTATAAATATATACTTACAAATTTATTGTTCTTAAAGTGTTTGACTAACGCAGTCCCCAAGGCACCACGCCCACCATAAATGATAACTTTACCAGCTGACATGTTGTCTCCTTCAGCAGTGTCGACCCACTGTCTACTGTACTACCATCACCCCCCTGTCACCCACCCCCCCGTCAACAACTGCCTCATCCCTCACCAAAAACCCTCCCTGTACCCCCCCCCCACTTAGTAAGTTTATTCCGGTATACACAAATACAGTTACATTGATTATCATACATAGCAGCATATGTGTAGAGGACCTAAGATAACTCAAAAGTCAGACAGCGACTTATGCCCATTGGGGTCCTTGTATTCCTTCCATCACCACCATCCTACTCCTCAGCAAATATAAGGGCTATAGTCCTCCCCACTACCATATTTAAATGTTAACCACACCACAACTACTAAGACTACTGCCATTAATAATATTTTTTAATATTTTTGTTTCTCAAAACTACATCAGTGTTACATGGCTGTGTTAACAGATTGGCCGTGTAACATTTAGAAAAAAAAACTAAAAAAAAAACAAAAAATGCGCCGTATTTTTTAGAAATTATTTTATCAAAATGGGGACGATTTTCTTTTTTTGTTGTTATTAAATAAGCATGAACACAAATAATTTGTGATATAGTGAATTGCAATTTCTAAAAACATCGCAAGATATTTTTTGTTTACTTATTTTCGCTATCAAAGATTGATAAATGCATTTCATAATTAATAAAACTGGAAATAGAAGATTTTTTTTAATTAAACCACAGTGCTCAATTACAATGATCACAAAAATATCCTTCACTAAAATAGCCATCTGATGAAAAATCTAATTTAGGGTAAGATATACAAAAATTAATAATTAATTTAATTTACCCTTCAGGTTAGCATAAAGCATAGTTAAGTGAGTTGAAACAGTGGAGAAAGTGATAAAAATAGAGCAATGTTAGTATTTTAGCAGATGTTGTGACCAGAAGTTCCAAGTTCCAAGATCGAAGTTTGATGACGTCACCATGGCCTAGTTGAGATAGTGTAAACTAAATATTTTCCTGAAAATCCTGGTCTGTTGATGGTGGTGAAAGACTGTGATATATTCATGATAAACACTGATATTCATAGAGCGTATAGATAACGCCAAAGGAACCATAGCAAGGCTAGATAAAGGCCAGTGCTGGTGAAATTATGTCCCGTCATGAAGGTAGGTTTTCCTCCACTGGTTAACAGCCAAAACGAATGAATTGTCTTTTATTTTATACGTATTTGCGTGTTACCTAGGCCGCTTCCTACATCCAGTCGCACTGAAGATAATGAGCCACAATGCAGGTAAATAGTAGATCACTAATATAATTTTCGCTAGGAAACTACGGTGTTCGTTGCATGGGAACTATTTTAGGCATTAGACTGCAAATTTCTTCTTCCTGGAGATAACTGATTCTTAGTCGTTTAATTTATTTTTGATACACAAGTCTGGCAGTTTCATGTTAATAATGATAAGATGTAAGTGTTTGATGTATAACATCCACAGTAGCTGTGCCCAGGACATCACACACAGACAGTTTTCAGTTTTACAAGAGATATATCAAGTACGGATAATTACAGTATACATATATGAAATTTATATTTCAACTTCAGTAATTACTAAAATGTGACAGACAATTTCGTAAAGTATCTGGAATATCCCAGAAATTCTTATGGTCAGGATCATGCTGTATAAAGGTAGAAGTCTAAAAAAAAAAAATTGGATTAGTAACCCAAGAGTTAGTACATATAATCCAAGAAAGTCACTCTGGCTTATTTCCATTTTGGTCCTTTGATTTTGTTTCCCAAAATAGTATGTACAGCAGTCAATTAACACCCATTATGTAAGTTTATTTAGGTACAGGTACACATAAGTACAATTATCATACATAGTAATGTGTGTAAATTACCTTGGATAATCCCCCAAAAAAGTCAGTGACTATCTTATAGCTAAGCTTTAAATAATGAGATTTCACAGGGACCCCAATGGTAATGACACTTGCTCAAAAGAAAGCCTTTTATACTACTCACTTTTAGCAGACTAATCCTAAAACTTGCATACAGTGGACCCCTGGTTTTTGTCCTTAATCCGTTACAGAAGGTTAGTCGAAATCTGAAATGGATTAAAACCAAAGTAATATTTCCCATAAAAAAATAATGTAAATCTAATTACATAATCCGTTACAGACACCCGAAAATATTAACAAAAAGTAAATTTTATAGAGAATAACTATAGTGTTTGAGCTCTTCAGTTGTTAGCTCTTCTCTGTGGTTGTCCACCAACTTTTCGACATCCTGGCCACTCACTGGACTTCCCCAAAGCCACAATAGATTCCACAACAGGCATTGGGTTGTCAAGTTTACACTAACTTAATATAAGTTAGTAATAGAACTAGGCATTAAAAAAAAACAATAAAAAGTAAAATACATACACAGTACATTCATTATTTACCTTAAAATATTTGTAGTCTTAATGTAGGCCGAGAGGTGAGTAGTATTTATTTGTAGGAAGTCAGTGTAGGTAGCAGTAGGTAGCCTTAGCTACACCTACTGGCAACCTACACTGTGGCCCAGTGCCATATAATTACCATCAACATACCATGCTGACTGAGTTTAATCGTTCCTAACAACTACCTTTAGATGCCATCATAAAGGGAGAAGTAATGAATAATTTATGCCGAGAAATGTATACAAAAGCGTTGTGTATTAAGGGCAGTTACTGGACCAATGCAGATTCATACACATTTTCTCTAATGCTGGACCAGAGAAAACGTAATGTTTTCCCCCCACCGAGTACCACCCTTCCATAGGATAAAAACATAGCATATTTATATGCTATGTAATGTGTTTCTTAAATAATTTTGAAGAAAATATCATAGATGTATTAGTGAAAAGGCCTATTTTAACATAAAATAAGACATTTAATGTGCCAAAGAGTGATTATTATTACGTATTAGTATTATTACTATGGTGTTAAGACTAGTGAACGAGTAACAAAGGCATGTTTATATGCTATGTAACATGTTTCTTATATAATTTTGAAGAAAATATCATAGATGGATTAGTGAAAATGTCTATATTAATGTAAAATAAGACATTTAATGTGCCCAAGAGTGATTATTATTAGTATTACATAATGTTTTCCCTCTGCCCGGCAACCACACCTCCATAGCATATAAACAGTATGTTTATATGCTATGTAACATGTCTATTATATAATTTTGAAGAAAATATCATAGATGGATTAATGAAAATGTCTATATTGATGTAAAATAAGACATTTAATGTGCCCAAGAGTGATTATTATTACAGTGGACCCTCAGGTAACCGCCATAATCTGTTCCAGAGAGCTTGCCTTTAACTGATTTTGCCTTTAGCCAGATTAATTTTCCTCATAAGAAATAATGGAAATCCAATTAATCCGTTTTAGACAGCCAGAAGTATTGACAAAAAATATTTTTTTTTTAACCCTTTCAGGGTTTTTGACGTACTAGTATGCCTAAATTCTAGCACCCTCAAATCTAGTGAGAGAAAGCTGGTAGGCCTACATATGAAAGAATGGGTCTATGTGGTCAGTGTGTGCAGTATAAAAAAAATCCTGCAGCACACAGTGCGTAATTAGAAAAAAAAAACTTTGACCGTGTTTTTGGATTAAAACAGCGACTTTGCACTGTATTTTCGTATGGTATTTATTGTTGTATTCTAGTTTTCTTGGTCTCATTTTATAAAATGGAAGACATATTACAGAAATTGAGATGATTTTGACTGGTTTTACAATGAAAAGAACCTTGAAATTGAGCTAAAAGTAGCAGAAATGTTCGATTTTTACCAAAGTTCAAAAGTAAACAAATCATGCTACGCATCCAATACACGTCAACTGGTGAGTCTAATATTCTTTCACAAGAGCGCTGATATTATTTATACCATTTCTACACTGATGCAGTAGTCTGCATGACAGTAAATCTTCTATTTTTTGTGAGAATAAAAATTCAAAGTGGAAAGCAAAAGAATGTAAGAGGGGCGTGGGGACATGACTAATGAACAACGGAAATGTTATTTTAGGGCCAGGAATGTCTTTTCTTGTTTATTCTGGACCCTATTCGGGAATTGGCATCTTTTGAAATTTGTGTGAAATTGGGAAAATTGCTAAAATCTGACCACTTTATTGGATAGTTGAAATCGGTAAATGGGTGGTTTCTTGTACTTATTTGATAGAAAAAATGGAGTTCTAGCAAAATAGTTATGATTTTTTGTCGACTAGTACACTGGAATTGGCTGAAAATAGGGCTCAAAGTGGGCAAAATCACCGATGCATGAACATTGTCGAGACCGCTAACTTCGCGAGAGCATAATTCTGTAAGTTTTCCATCAAATTTCATACTTTTGGTGTCATTATGATTGGTAAAAGATTCTCTATCTTTTCATAAGAAAAAATAAGTTTTTTTGAAAATTTGGCGACCCTGAGAACAAGTCTCAGAGAGGGCCTGGCGACCCTGAAAGGGTTAAAGATTAAATATAGATATACATACAGAAAACAATGACAAATAAACATAAAGCACTAATAAAATGGATAAATGAACATTTAACATCACACTTGCCTTTACTGACTCTTATTGGTGTATGGAAGACAGGTAGGAGGCAAGAGGGAGACGAGTTTATTATGCTTCAATCTGACGCTAATATTATCTCTACGGCTTCTTATCTATCACAATTCATCTAATATGACATAAACAATATTAATAACATAGAAACATGATAGTATATACTCTAGAATGAATAAAATATGTCATAATGTATGAGAGGAGTAAAGTGTTGGAAGTGGTGTTGTTGGGTTTATAAGGACCACTGAGAGAAGTCGTTCATAGTGGAGGTGGAGGCATCAGCGGACCCCACCAACACTATCACACTTAAACAATGTATGTACGTAATTTATAAATAAGAAATATTTACATTTTAATTTATAAATAAGTTTATTCAGTTATGTATACATAGATCATCATACATAGCAGCATGTGTGTAAAGTACCTTGGATAACCCAAAAAGTCAGAGTGACTTACGTATTTCCATTGGGGTCCTTTTATATTGACACTTATATTTACTTTTATACTTACACTTTTATATTTACACTTACCTTGGAGGAGATGTTAGTTTAATTAGTCAGACTGACTTACTGAATGACTTGACTGACTGAATGACTTGACTGAATGAATGACTTGACTGACTTATTGAATGACTTGACTGACTTGTTGAATGACTTGACTGACTTGTTGAATGACTTGACTGACTTATTGAATGACTTGACTGACTTATTGAATGACTTGACTGACTTATTGAATGACTTGACTGACTTATTGAATGACTTGACTGACTTATTGAATGACTTGACTGACTTATTGAATGACTTGACTGACTTACTGAATGACTTGACTGACTTACTGAATGACTTGACTCGCTGAATGACTTGACTCGCTGAATGACTTGACTCGCTGAATGACTTGACTCGCCGGATGACCTGACTCGCCGGATGACCTTGACACTCGCCGGATGACCTGACTCGCCGGATGACCTGACTCGCCGGATGACCTGACTCGCCCGGATGACCTGACTCGCCGGATGACCTGACTCGCCGGATGACCTGACTCGCCGGATGACCTGACTCGCCGGATGACCTGACTCGCCGGATGACCTTAAACTCGCCGGATGACCTGACTCGCCGGATGACCTGACTCGCCGGATGACCTGACTCGCCGGATGACCTGACTCGCCGGATGACCTGACTCGCCGGATGACCTGACTCGCCGGATGACTTGACTCGCCGAATGACTTGACTCGGGATGTCTGACTCGGAATGACTTGACTACTGAATGACTTTAAAACTTACTGAATGTCTTGACTTACTGAATGACTTGACTCACTAAATTTGACTTTAGCCTGAATGACTTGACTCATAATGACTTGACACTGAATAAACATGTGACTTGACTCATGAATGACTTGACTCACTGAATGACTTGACTCACTGAATGACTTGACTCACTGAATGACTTGACTCACTGAATGACTTGACTCACTGAATGACTTGACTCACTGAATGAAACTGATGTGCTCACAACTGAATGAATGAATGACTTGACTCACTGAATGACTTGACTCACTGAATGACTTGACTCACTGAATGAC